GTGTAAAGAAATTTAAAATTCTTCAACCTCATTTGAGCTTTGCAACACCAACAGAACTGCGAGCTGTTTCTGACTTTTCTGTAATAAAACACCAACTGCTGATTTTTTGCCTCTTTTGTGCATTTAAGCATGCGGTTCACAGGTTTCATTCAGTTTTGATTCATTTAACTACTGTTTTTCTAGAATTTCTTTTCGAATATTTCTTATGTAAAATTGGTTAAGTGATGCTTTTTCCTTATAAGATACAGGTAAAAAAAACATTTCTCTTTATTGCTCGTTTGGCTGTAATTTATATTTTGAAAAACAATGCTAGTAATTTAACTTACTAACTACCCATGAAATGGTAAGACAGATACATAAGCTGTTAGATATTGCTCGATCTGTATCCATCGTCAACAATAATAACTACAGTACCTTGGAGTATATGCTCGAGCTTTTAGAAGACCTCAAATATGCCATTCAGGATAGGAAGGTGGATGCTCTTGTCGTTGAGACATTTGGGAGACGCATAGAGAAACTATTGCAGTAAGCTCAATTTTCATAAGTTAAATGTTATCTATTGTTGATCATATTCTGAATAACATATGGAAATTTTGCTGGTCTAGAGTCGTAAAGTCAGTTGATCCACTGAAGATTGGTTAGGGCTTTGTTTGTCTTGAGGCTTGTTAAGATAAATTATTAAAGAAACACATTTTAAGCTCATAAGAATATTATCTTTCTGAGGCGACTTATATACTATAAACACTTTCTGAATATTCTATAATGAATCAAGCTATTCAAAAGCACTGGGGTTTCAACATGGGGTGGTTTAATCCTAAGCAAACAAATTTGTAATAGTCTATGAGAATAAATGACTACCTGAGCCATTATGGATAGCAGCCTCATGTTGACGTGCTGAAAAGATGCCAGATTGTCATCATATTCTGAACACAAGTGAAGAAGATAAAATAGAGAAAGTTGACTAGATAGAAGATGGCAAAGTGGAGGGTGATTTGTGGGGATGATACTCCATTTAATGGAAGTGACATACTTATAATGCAACTCATATTATTACTCTGCAGGATGCATATACACAGTCAATAATTTATTTATCTTTGAATTACTTTATCTAACAGCTTAAGCTTTTAGAGGGAGAACAAACATATTTGCATTATGTTCTCAACATGCCTCGTCAAGTGCATGCTAGTTTCATTTTGTCACAATCACGATTTTCATCAGTAGCTAGCAAGAATATATCGTACTTTTTTCATATGATTTTATTCTTGACTTCCATTTGTCTCTCATAAACTCGACAGGGAGAAATATGTACTTCTATGCAGGCAGATAGATGATGAAAAGGCAGAATCATCAAATATCACGGCTGATGATGATAGTTCAAAGGAAGATGACATAGTTCGTAGTTTGCGTGCAAGCCCCATTGTTCCTTGTACTAAGGATCGAACATCTATTGAAGATTTTGAAATAATTAAACCCATAAGCAGAGGTGCTTTTGGACGAGTTTTTCTGGCCAGGAAAAGGTCAACTGGTGACTTATTTGCAATAAAGGTCTGACTCTATGCCATTGTCCAAAGGTGTATATCGTGAATTTCAAATAGTTTCAGCTAGATCTTTCTCTCTCT